TTGTTTTTGATGAGTTTGATGATGATATGTCTTGGTGATTTTCTTTTGGGGTCTATCTTGTTTGGGGTTCATTGGACTTCCTGAATGGATGTATTCTCATCTTTCATCCTATCAGGGAAGTTCTCCTCCAACAAATCTTGGACATTTTTCTCGGTAGTTTTATTTTTCTCGTCCTATTCAGGAATTCCAATGACATGTAGGTTATTCCTTTTCATGGTATCCCACATGAACCTTAGGCTTTCTTCATTTTGTTTTGATCTTTTTTCTGATTGATTCCTTTCCAAAGAAGTATTCAGGTGTTTGTCTTAAATCTCATTAATTTTGTCTTCCTTTGCGTCAGTTGTACTCCTTTACCCTTTCAATGTGTTATCTAATTCTGCATTTCTATCTGTAGATTTAGAATCATTTCTAATTTTTCATTTATTTTGTCATTTTGTTCTTGTATTTTCTTCCAAAATTCTTCTAAGGTTTTGTCTGTGTTTTCCTCAGTCTCTTTCTCAATCCTTTGAAGATACTTAAATATAATTCTTCTGAATTCCTTATTAGGAAGTTCCAATGCTGCTTATTTCTCAGGGATGTTGTCTGGGTCTGTATTCTGCTCCCTTGTTTCTACCACTTTATCCTGCTTCTTTGTGTGGACAGTGATGGTCTTTTGTCTCCGAGACATCAGGGATTAATGATCTTAATCAGTTGTATTAAGATCACTGTTAACTGTTTGTGAACAGAAGCCAAGGGTCAGTCAGGCTTTTCTTTGGTGGTTTTTTATCGTTGGTCCATGGTGGAGAAGGAAGTGTTGGCTTTCACTCAGTAAGTGAAGGTGCAGGAGGTGTGGGGGTAGTTGTGTCGTATGGGGTCTGTTGCTGTCTTCCATTCAGTTAGACAAAAAAAAAATAACAATTTAATAACCAATAAAAAAAGTAAAAGCAAATGGACGAAATACACTGTGTAATCCCAGAGGAACCAAAAAAAAAAAAAAAGAAAAGAATTAAAAAAAAAAACAAAAACACAGTATCTTGGGAGAAGGCAATAAGAGGAAAAAGGTAGAGAAGGAGAATAATGAAGAAAAAAATGGGAAAAATGCAAAAAGAAAAACAAGAAACAGGGTTACCCACAAGAAAGAAAGAAAGAAAAAATTCCAAACAGGAACAAGGGAAAAACAAAAAGTCGAAAACTAGATCCTGGGAGAGGAAGAATAAAGAATAATAGCAAAAAGGACAAAAGTAATAATGATAATAGTAGTTTTAAAACAGACAAAAACAATCTAAAAAACAGAAAAGAAGAGAAAAATAAAATCAGGGCAGGGCACCAAGCTCCCTCTGAGGACATAGACTGGGATGGAATTCCTGCCGGCCCAGAAGGTGGGTGGAAGTGAGGGATTGGTTGCACCTCCATTCACCAAGAGGGTGTGGGTTATAAGAGTAACAAGGAGAACATCGTGCCTTTCCAGTTATTTGAGTCCAGAATGTCTTTGGGTTTCCCTGCAAGTAGAGCCTGTTCTTAAGTCCCGGGAATCTGGGGGAATGCTGTCTCTTTAAATATCCAAAATGGTCAAGCCGCTTGTAGACATTCAAAATGGCTGCTCCTTCCGGACAGGCAAAAGTCCGCAGCTCAGCCCCCCTTACTGTTCATTGCTTCCCCTTTTATTTCCCAGTCACCAGAGCAGTCCTCCATGCAGTCCCTGGCTAGCAGGGCTGATTTTTAGCTTAATTCTTAGGTCCTGCCACCGTAACATCCAAGCTGTCTGTGCCATCAGGATCGCTGCTAGACTGCAGCTATGTATGTCTCCTTTTTTGGTGTTTTCATGCAAATTCATCTGCTAGTTGGAGTTTAGTCCACTTCTATATCCTTCCCTTCAAGGCTCAGGGGTCCAGGATTGTCTTCTGTGTCCGGGTTAATTGGTTCCCCTTTTCTTTGTTGACAAGGATCTGTGCAGTCTTTCTGCCTATTCTGCCTACCAACCGGAACTCCCTTTGCAGGTTTTACTGTACAACATTCTCATTTTACAGTAAAGAAAATGAGACTCAGAGAGATTAAGTGACATATCAAAGACCATCTACTAATTTGATTAAAATAATCATTAATTAATTGTAGGTGTTAGTTGCATATTCTATATCCTGTACTTATTTACCTATCTTATTTTGTTAAATCCTTTCTGTGAACAAGGTTATTGTGGATACAAGTACAGGCTCTGGAGTCAAATACTCTTTGTTTTGACTCCTGATTCTGCCACATATGTTGATGTTGGGCAAGTTACCTCTCTGAACTTGTTTCCTCAGCTGTATAATAGGAATAGTGTAATTTCATAGGATTATTGTGAAGATTAAATGAGATAATCTGTGTGAAGTATTTAGAACAATGCCTGTCACAGAGTTAAGCAGTAAATGTTGTAATAATTATCGTTACAGCAATTGTTGTAGTTCATTAGCCACATTGTATCCTGGAAAGGCATGAGATATAATTGTCATTCATTTTAAACTGGTTCTGGTTTTCTTATAGGCAAGCTGACTGATAGAACAGCAAGCATTTTCCAAGGCAACCAAATCCAGCTGAAGCTGACCAATATACAGAAAGCTAAACTTTCTACAGCTGCATTCATAAAAGCCTTCTGCCATCACAAACTCATTGAACTGGATGCTACTGCAGTTCATGCAGACCTTCCAGTCCCAGACATCATAAGTGGACTCTGCAGCAATAGCTGGATCCAGCAAAACCTTCGCTGTCTCCTGTTGGACTCTACAAGCATCCCTGGAGATTCAAGAAAACTGTTCTTTGATCAGCTCACTGGTCTTCGCATTTTAAGTGTTTCCAATGTTTGTTTTCATAGTGAAGACCTGGCTGATGTTTCTCAGTTACCAAAACTGGAGAGCTTGGATATATCCAATACCCTGGTCACCAATATCTCTGCACTCCTTGCCTGTAAGGATCGACTCAAATCTCTCACCATGCACTATTTAAAATGCCTGACCATGACCAAACCACAGATCCTTGCAGTCATAAGAGAACTTAAATGTCTGCTTCATCTTGATATTTCTGATCACAAGCAACTCAAATCTGACCTAGCTTTTCATCTGCTACAGCAAAAGAATATCCTGCCTAATATTGTGTCACTGGATATTTCTGGGGGCAGTTGCATCACTGATGGAGCTGTAGAACTGTTTATTCAACAGCGGCCTGCAGTGCAGTTTGTGGGATTATTGGCTACGGATGCTGGTTATTCTGACTTCTTTACTACAAAGCAAGGCTTGACGGTTTGTTCCTATTTCAAATACATTTTGTTTCATTTCTTTAGAACATTATTAAACTCTCTTGCTGTGTGCCAGAACCTGTCCTAGGTGTTAGAGTTGCAAAATCACATAAGCAATCCTTAAGGAACATTACAGTAATTACTATGTGCCTACTATGTGATAGATCATGGAAGTATTACCTTAACACACAGTGCCTGCCTCTGTGTCTTATAGTCTATCTTGATAATGATAACTATGGCCATGTATACATTACCTAATATGTGCCAGATGCCATGCTGTACACATTTATTTTTTCTACTTTAATCCTTTTATTTTATTAATGAGGAAATAGAAGCCCAGGGAAGTTAAGGTACTTACTTACCCACAATCATGAAAGTAATTATTAAATGGTAGAATTGGGATTTATATCCAAGTCTTTGTGGTTCTAAGACTTGTACTCTTCACCTCTGTTAAGGGTTAAATATAATTAATACCATAGGTTGTCAGTATGACTAACACCATTTTTGGCCAACATATAAACTAAAAGCAATTTTACAAAGAGCCTTAAGAAGAAGGTTTCAAACATTTCTGGAATAACTTTATAGATTCTTACGGTGTTACTTTTAAAAGCAACGCATATTTAAATATATAGTTTGATGGTCTTTCTTTTTTTAAATGTTTTCTACCTCAATTGTACATTAGAATCACTTTGAAACCTTTAAATATACAAATGCTGAGTCCCGTCCTTCAGAGCTTCTGATTTGATTGGTCTGGAACTGGCCTGTGCATCTGGATTTTTTAAATTCCCACCAAACTCACTGCCATTGAGTCAGTCCCAACCCATAGCAGTCCCTCCTTGGGTTTCTGAGGCAGTATCATCTACAGAATTAGATTGCCCAATCTTCCGAGGAGTGGCTGGGGGATTGAACCGCCAGCCTTCTGGTTAGCAGTCAAATGCCTTAGGCACTATGCCACCAGAGCTCCCTTTAAATTCCCAGCTAATTGAAATAGGCAATCATAGTTGAGAACTACTATTTAAGGGTTTTGTTATTGTCATTGTTGTTTTAAATAATTGCTCCTTATATATTTCTCTTTAGGGTAACAGAGTAAAGTGATTTGCAGAGTAATTAGTTGTGTTCCCATTTTATTCTATTGAAGATAACGTTTGTTATTTTTAATTTCCTTGTAATTTTCTGGACTCTTTAGTGAAGGTAGAAGCTATCAATTACATCATTAGGCTTGAAACAGAGACATAATCAGAACTTTTTGATTTAATATGCATAGTAGACAAATGTTTACCAAGAATTATTTGCCAGGCTTGTTTCAGATTAATAATATTTAATGTCACAATTGTCAAAAGACTACAGAGATATAAAAAGTAGCACATATACTCTTGGTATATACAGAAATAGGGCACAGGTGCCGAATTAAGCGTGGGGTTTGTGTACTATCAAAGAAGAGACACAAAAAGAAAGTTGTTGTTGTTGTTGTTATGTGCCGTCGAGTCGGCCCTGACTCATAGCGACCCTTCCTTGGGTTTCCGAGGCAGTATCACTACGGAAGTAGGATTGCTCAACCTTCCTTCCAAGGAGTGGCTGGTGGGTTTGAACTGCCAGCCTCCTGGTTAGCAGTCAAGCGCCTTAGGCACTATGCTACCAGAACTCCTTAAAGAAAGTGGTAAGTTTTATTTCAGTAAAATTAACGAATATACATGTAAGTTTAGGTCACTTTGAACATTTAAAATTATGAATTACATATGATGTTGGATATTATGGGAATGGAGCAGAAAGACCATAATCTAACCAGTGCTAAGAGCCTCAGAAATATCTTAATCCATCCTTATATGGAGTGTAGGGAAAGATAAGTTTAAAAGGTATGTTTGGGGGAACGTTTTATTTTAATATAAGGATACATATCTTGCCCACCACTGTCAATTTGTCTTATTGTAGTGGCTCACATGTTCCTGTGATTCTGGAAGCTATGCCACCAGCATTTAAAATACTACCAGGTTCACCCATATTATTGTTGTTAGGTGCCATTGAGTCATCACCAACTCATAACGACCTTATGTGCACAGCAGAACGAAACACTTCCCAGTCCCACACCAGCTCCATGATCCCTGCTGTACTTGAACCCATCACCACAGCCACTGTGTCAATCCATCTCGTTGAGTGCCTTCCCCTCTTGTGTCAACCCTCCACCTTACCAAGCATGACATCCTTCCCCAAGGCATGGTCCCTTCTGACAACATGATCAAAGTAGGTGAGATGAAGTCTGGCCATTCTCACTTCCAAGGAGCATTCCACCTGTACTTCCTCCAGGACAGATTTGTTAATTCTTTTAGCAGTCCATGGTACTTCCTGCATTTTCCGCCAGCACCACAACTCAAAAGCATCAACTCTTCTTTGGTCTTCCTTATTCATTGTCCAGCTATCACATGCATGTGAAGTGATTGAAAATACCATAGCTGTGTCAGGCGCACCTTAGTCCTCAAGGAGATATCTTTGCTCTTTAGCACTTGAAAGAGGTCCCTTGTAGCTCATTTGCCCAGTGGTATACGTTGGCACAGCACTGAGGCTGTGCCACTGGTGTTTCAAATGCCGCCAGCAGGGTTGCACCTGGTGCACAGGTTTCAACACAGCTTACAGACCGAGACAGACTAGGAAGAAGGAAGAGGCCATCCACTTCTCAAGGAATTGGCCAGGGAAAACCTTATGAATAGCAGAGAAACACTGTATGACACATTACTGGACAACTTTATGAATAGCCTGGAAACATTGTCCAACACAGTGCAGGAAGACGAGCCACTTGGGTCAGAAGGCACTCAAAATAGGACTGGGAAAGAGCTACCTTCTCATACTAGATCCAGCCTTAATGATATGGATAAATTAAATCTTTCAGGACCTCCATGTGCTGATGTGGTATGATTCAAATTGAATCGTGCAAACATTAAAACATTCAAAGCTGCAAACATCCATTAATAATCGGAACATGGAATGTACAAAATATGAATCTAGGAAACTTGGAAGTTGTCAAAAATGAAATGGAACACATAAAGCTTGATATCCTAGGCATTGTTGTTATTTGCCGTTGAGTCAGCCCTGACTCATAGCGACCCCTCCTTGGGTTTCCGAGGCATTATCACTCGGAAGTAGATTGCCCAACCTTCCTTCCGAGGAGTGGCTGGTGGGTTTGAACCGCCAGCCTTCTGGTTATTAGTGAGCTGAAATGGGCTGGTTTTGGCCATTTTGAATCAGACCACCACATGTCTACTATGCTGGGAATAACAAATTGAAGAGGAAGGCGTGGCATTCATCATCACAAAGGATGTTTCAAGATGTGTCCTGAAGTATAATGCTGTCCGTGATAGGATAATATCCATACTCCTACAAGGAAGACCCATTAATAATGTTATTACTCAAATTTACACACCAACATGCAATTAAGATGTATCAGTTATCACTGGTGATTGGAATGCAAAAGTTGGAAACAAAGAAGAATCACTGGTAGTTGGAAAATTTGGCCTTGGTGACAGAAATAATGCGGGAGATCACATGTTAGAATTTTGTAAGACCAATGACTTATTCATTACAAATACCTTTTTTCAACAACACAAAAGGCAGCTATACATGTGGACTTTGCCAGATGGAGTACACAGGCATCAGATTGACTACATCTGTGGCAAGAGGCGATGGAAAAGCCCAACATCTTCAGCTATAACAAGGCCAGGAGCTGATTATAGAACAATCAACTGCTCATACACAAGCTCAACTTGAAGTTGAAGACAATTAAAACTAGTCCACAAGAGCCTACATATGACCTTGAATATATACCTCCTGATTTTAGAGACCATCTAAAGAATAGATTTGATGCATTGAGTACTAATGACTGAAAACCAAAAGAGTTGTGGGATGACATCAAGAGCATCATCTATGAAGAAAGCAAGAGGTCATTAAAAATATGAGAAAGAAAGAAAAGACCAAAATGGATGTCAGAAGAGACTCTGGAATTTGCCCTTGACCAAAGAGTAGCTAAAGCAAATGGAAGAACTGACAAGATAAAAGAGCTGAACAGAAGATTTCAAAAAGCATCTCAAGAAGATAAAGCCAATCACTATAATGAAATGTGCAAAGACCTGGAGTTAGAAAACCAAAGGGGAAGAACATGCTCAGCATTTCTCAAGCTGAAAGAACTGAGGAAAAATATAAGCCTCGAGTTGCAATATTGAAAGATTCTATGCGCAAAATACTGAATGATGCAGGAAACGTCAAAAGAAGATGGGAGGAATACAGAGTCACTATACCAAAAAGAACTCGTCAGTCTTATCCATTTTAGGAGGTGGCATATGTTCAAGAACCAGTGGTATTGAAGTTGAAGAAGTCTAAGCTGCACTGAAGGGAGTGGTGAAGAACACGGCTCCAGGAATTGATGGAATACCCATTGAGATGTTTCAACAAACAGATGTTGCACTGGAGGCATTCACTTGGCCATGCCAAGAGATTTGGAAAACAGCTACCTGGCCAACTGACTGGAAGAGATCCATATTTGTACCCATTCCAAAGAAAGGTGATCCCACAGAATGTGGAAATTATTGTACAATAACATTAATATCACATACAAGTAAAACTTGCTGAAGATAATTCAGAATGGTTGCAGCAGTATATTGACAGATAACTTCCTGAAGTACAAGCTGGATTCAGAAAAGGACGTGAAATGAGGGGGTATCATTTCTGATATTATATGGATCTTGGCTCAAAGCAAAGAATACCAGAAAGATGTTTACTTATGGTTTATTGACTATGCCAAAGCGTTTGATTGTGTGGATCATAACAAATTGTGGATAACATTGAGAAGAATGGGAATTCCAGAACACTTAATTGTACTCATGAGGAACCTGTTCATAGACCAGGAGGCTGTTGTTCGAACAGAACAAGGGGACACTTCATGGTTTAAAATCAAGAAGGGAGTGTGTCAGGGTTGTGTCCTTTCACCATACTTACTCAGTCTGTATGCTAAGCAAATAATCTGAGAAGCTGGACTATATGAAGAAGAGTGTGGCATCAAGATTGGAGGAAGACTCATTAACAACCTGCGATATGCTGATGACACAACTCTGCTTGCTAAAGGTGAGGATGACTTGAAGCACTTACTGATGAAGATTGAAGACTACAGTCTGCAGTATGGATTACCTCTCAATATAAAGAAAACAAAAATCCTCATAACTGGACCACTGAGCAGCATCACAATAAATGGAGAAAAGATTTAAGTTGTCAGAGACCTCACGTTGCTTGGTTCTACCATCGACACCAATGGAAGCAGCAGTCAAGACATCAGACAACATATAGCACCGGGCAAATCGGCTGCCAAGGACCTCTTTCAAGTGCTGAAGAACAAAGATATCTCCTTGAGGACTAAGGTGCGCCTGACACAAGCCATGGTGTTTTCCATTGCCTCATATGGATGTGAGAGCTGGAGAATAAATAAGGAAGACCGAAGAAGAGTCGATACTTTTGAGCTGTGGTGTTGGCGAAGAATGCTGAAAGTATTGTAGACTGCTAAAAAAACCTAATAAATCTGTCCTGGAGGAAGTACAGCTGGAATGCTCCTTGTAAGCGAGAATGGCTTCGTCTCAGCTACTTTGGTCATGTTATTGGAAGGGACCATTTCCTGGAGAAGGATTTCATGCTTGGTAAGGTGGATGGTTGACGACAGACGGCCAGGCACTCAATGAGATGGATTGACACAGTGGCTGTGGCGATAGGCTCAAGTATAGCAGGGATTGTGGAGTTGGCACAGGACCACAAGGTGTTTCTTTCTGCTGTGCGTAGGGTCTCTGTGAGTCAGAGATGACTCGATGGCACCTAACAACAACAACAGTGTAGTTTAATTGGCATTAATCTTAAGAGTAAAGTTGAATATCTTTTCATATGTCTATGGGCCATTTTTACTCTGTGTGTGTGTGTTTTAATCTGCTCTTGTCATTTTCCATTTTTCTGTAGTGTATTTGGTCTTTTTCTTTATTCTGTTTTTTAAAGTTTCTTACAGCCAGTAAATTATGTTTTTTTCTTGTGATACAGATTGTAAATTTTTTTTTTCAAAAAAGTACCTTTTTAAGTTGTTTATTAAGGCATAGGTTATTTATGGTAACATTCACCATTTTCAAGTATATAGTTTTGACAAATGTAACAGTCAAGCAACCATCACCAAAATAAACATGAAGAGAGCATTTTTATCACCCCTCAAAAATTTTTAGTGCCCATTTGTAATCAGTTCCTTCCCTCCTCTCCAAGCCCTTGAAACTGCTGATCTGATTTTTATCCACATTGTTTTGCTTTTTCAAAATGTCATATAGATAGAATATTATGTTAAGCTGCCTTTTGTACCTGGCTTCTTCCATTTACTATAATTTTTTTGAGGTTAAACTGTATTGTTCTATGTACCATTTGTTCTTTTCCTCTTTTTTTTTTTTTTTTAATTACTGAGTAATGTTATATTGTATGTGTGACTGTGCCACAATTTGGTTTATCTACTCACTAGTTGGACCTCCCCCCCCCCTCAGTTTTTGGTGATTACAAATAATAATATTACAAACATTTGTGTATAGGTCTTTGGAGACTTCCGGGTTTTTGTTTTTTTTGGTAAATATCTAGGAGGGAATTGTTGGGTTACATAAAACCAAAGAAAAAACAAACTCACTGCCATCAAATCGATTCCAACTCTTAGCAGCCCCCTTTGGGTTTCTGAGGTGGTAAATCTTTACAGAAGTAGATTGCCCCATCTTCCTTCTGCAGAGTGGCTGGTGGGTATGACCCACCAAACTTCTGGTTAGCAGTCAAATGCTAATGTACTATACTATAAATTCCTTTGGGTTATATAGTAACTACATTTAACTTTATAAGAAATTGCCAATCTGTTTTCTAAGGTAGCTGTACCATTTTACATTCCCCATTCTTCTGAATTTTGGGTGTGTGGTGGTATCTCATTGTTTTAATTTGCATTTCACTGACAAAGATAATTGAGCATCATTTCATGTGCTCATTTGCCATTTTGTGGTGAAGGGTCTATTCAGGTCTTTCTCCCATTTTTTTTTCCCCATTGGGTTAACTTGAGTTTTAAGAATTTGCTTTATATTCCTGATACAACTCCTTTATTTGATGTATGTGCTTTGCTGTTATTTTCTCTTAGTCATTGACTTTTTTAAGTTTCTTAAATGTCTTTAAAAGAACAGGGGTTTTAAATTTTGATAAAGTTCAGTGCATCAGTTTTTCACTTTATATTTTATTTTTGTTTCAAGAAATCTTTGTCCAGGTTTTTATCCTCCCCCTGCCATCATTTTAAATTTTTATGTATGTGCATTCTCCTCTTTTTTATTGATTAAATTAGATAGTAGTTTTCTCTTTTTCCATCAGAAAACCAGAGTTTTGATTTACTAATGTGATCTGCTTTTTTTGCCTATCATTTTAGCTTTTCTCTTGACTTACTTTGTTGTTCTTTAGCTTTTTGATTCTGGTTAAAGTTCTTTCATTAGTCTTAACTTAATCACTGTGTACTACCTTAAGCAACGCATCACCTCTCTGGACGTATCTGTAAAATTGAAGTTGGTGGGAGTATTTACCTATTAGAAACATGATTAAATTAAAGGAGCTTTGTAAAGCAGTTGACACATTTAATAAGTACCTGTTATTGTTTTTAATACTTGAGGACCCAAAAATCCAAGTAACATCTCTGTTTTTCAGGTTGCTGGAGGAGCCAATATGAGTCAGATTTCAGAGGCACTGGGCAGATACAGGAATAGGTCATGTTTTATGAAGGAAGCCCTCTACAGGCTGTTCACAGAGACGTTTTCAGTGCAGATAACCATGCCTGCTATTTTAAAGGTAACTGCACCTCAGAAAGGAGATCTGGTGAGACAGTTGTTGAGACATTTGGCTGCTAATCAAAGGGTCAGTAGTTTGAATCCATCAGCCACTCTGTAGGAGAAATATGATGCAGTTTGCATTTATAGCTTTAGAACCCATATTCAGCAGCCCTGCTCTGTCTTAAAGGGTCACTATGAGTCAGAATCAACTTGGTGGCAGTGGGTTTTGTTTTTTTGGTACCTCAGGGAAGCACTTTTATTATTACTTCTTACTTTGGTTTAATTAAAAGTATTCAGCAAACATATTGCTTATAATAACTTATATGCCATATTTTATAGTGAAGCCATGTACCCTCATAGAAAGAAAACAATATTAGACTTAACTATCAGAACCTTTAAGCATCTGAATCTATATGGAATCAATTTGGGTCTTTAAGTTTTTAGAATTTGGCATGAGAGAAGAGATTGTAGGATCATTGCATTATTTTGTCTAAAATATTTGTTAGGTGCTATTGACCATATATGACAGAGTAGAACTGCCCCAAAGTTTTCTAGGGTGAAACCTTTACGAGAGCAGATTGCTAGGTATTTCTTTTACCGAGTTGCTAGGTGGGTTTGAACCACCGGGCTTTCTGTTAGCAGCCAAGATGCTTAACCATTGTGCCACCAGGGTGTCTTTTGCCTAAAATAAGACTTGTTAATTTACTAACATGAATTCACTTTGTCCTAAAAGTTGTTTCGTTTTTTTATTTATTCATTTCAACACTCTTAAAAGCCCAACATTTTAAAACATCTGAGAGAAAATAGCAACACTGTCCCCAAAAGGAATAGAACAAAACCTCAAAAATTAGGGTACCCAGATCAACCATTTAAAGCACTTTGTGAATAAAGTAAAGTTACCAATATTGATAAAGCTGAATTTTGGTTTAGGGAAGGTTGAGTTCATTTTAAATATAAAAGAAATACTAAGTATTTTTGGAAAGAAAACTACAATTATTTAAAATTAAATGAAACATGAAAATAAAGGGCTTAGATGTATAGCAGGAGCTCTGGTGGCATAGTGCCTAAGGCACTTGACTGCTAACCAGAAGGCTGGTGGTTCAAACCCACCAGCCACTCCTCGGAAGGAATGTTGGGCAATCTACTTCCTCTCAAAACCCAAGGAGGGGTCACTATGAGTCGGGTCCAACTTGATGGCAAATAACAACAACAACAACAGGTGTATAGTAGCGCTAATAAGGGACAAGGTTGTGCTGACTTCTTGACTACAGCCATCTACCCAGAGGGAGCGAGTAGTTGGACCTATGGGCTTGGTACCATGGTCAAAGGTGACATCAAGCTCAGTTGGCATAACATACTACACAAAAACATTATTCTACATCCTACTTGTGAGTAGCAGCTGAGATCTTAAAACCTTGCAAATGGCCATCTAGATACAATGACAGGTCTTTCCTTATCCAGTGCAAAGGAAAATTCAGAAAACCAAAGATGCATGGAAACAGTTAGTCCAGGGGACTAGTAGACCATGCGATCCTCAACCTATATGAGACCAGAAGACCTAGATGATGTCCGACTACCACTGTCAGCTACCTAGAAGGGTGTCAGTGTAGGAGATTCTGCATAGAGTGGGAGAACAATGTGGAACAAAGTCCAAAATCAGGTTTGCTAGTCTGATAGAGCCTGGTAAGACCCCTGAGATTATGGCCCCTAGCTACCCTTCAGGCCTGGAATTGAACTCACTCCTGTGGCTTCCAGCCAAATAATTATAGGCATAAGGGCTAAACATTTTCATCAGATAATTACATTAGTTGGAGCGATCAATCATGGGAGAGCAGAAGGGCAGTGTTTGCACAGGGAAACAGCTTGGGAAGTGGGAGTACATGGAAGGGAAGGACACAGGAAAGTGGTAACTACAGGGAGGAAGTGGGAAGAAAGCTGTTATATTATGAGGAATTGCAGTCAGTGTCATGAGACAAAATGTGTATGAACTGCTGTATAGAAAAGAAATTTGCTCTGTAAACTTTTACCCAAATAACATTAAAGTTAAAAAAATAATTAAGGGCTTAAGAAAGTGAACCCTATATTATTTATAATCTTTGCAGTTCTTTAAACATATGGCTGTTTCTGTAGCATCAAAAATTAATTATATAAAAGCAATGCTGTGTAAAGAAGGAACTGTGGACCTTTGTTTCTTATATGTAATTAAGAAATTGAGTCAGATGTTCTCAAAGTCCTTTTCATATCTAAGAGTCTGAAAATTGTATTTCTTTTGGTTTCTGCATCTCTGAATTGCAGATGATGGCAATCCCATGAAACCCATGGATTAGTTTAGCAATATTGAAATAAGTCATCTTCTGTGGCAGAATTACATTCCAGGTCTGTACCTAGGCTTCATGAGAAGTTCATAAAGCTTTGAAATGAGGGGTCTGGTCTCTTAAAATTATGGTCATACAAGTATCAGTAGACTACTTTCTGAGATGGGAAGGGGTAATTATCCTTGTTAGATAAAGGAAATGGATCACAGTGTCCTTGAATGTTAGAGAAGGTAAGGTCTCACAGTTTTATGTATGATCTTATATGCTCATGTTATACTTGTTTTCTAGGTCTTCCATAGTCTGGCTTTAAAGTGCCTTTCTAATGTCTTAGCATTTTTCATATTCCTACCTTTCTATGTATAGATTAAGCTCAGCCTTTTATTGGCCTTATTTTTTTTCCTTTTTACATTTTTCTTTCCTAGGAATTCCCTGTCACTTCTACTTCCTTCTGAGATCCTGCCTAAATGTGCTTTCTGAATGAAGTCTTTTGATCCCATACCAGAAACAATTGCTCATTCTATAACTACCATGTTGTCGTTAGGTGCCAGCGAGTTGGCTCCAACTCATACTGACACTGTGTACAACAGAACTAAACACTGCCTGGTCCTGTACCAGCCTCAAAGTCCTTGCTATGCCAGAGCCCATCATTGCAGCCACTGAATGAATCCATCTTGTTGAGGGTCCTCCCCTTTTTCACTGACCCTCTACTTTCCCAAGCATGATATCCTTCTCCAGGGAATGGTCCCTTCTGATAACATGACCACAGTACAGGAGACGAAGCCTGGCCATTTTCACTTCCAAGGAGCATTCTGGCTGCACTTCTTCCAGGACAGATCTTTTCATTTTTCTAGCAGTCCATGGTACATGGTATTTTCAGTATTCATTGCCAACACCACAACTCGGAAGAATCAACTCTTCCTTAGTCTTCCTTGCTCAAGTCCAGCTCTCACGTGCGTATGAGCAATTGAAAATATGTGCCTTGTATTAGGTGCACCTTATGGAAGGAAGGTTGGGCAATGTACTTCAGTAGTGATATCACCTCGGAAACCCAAGGAGGAGTCGCTGTGAGTCGGGTCCAACTCCACGGCACATAACAACAACAAAAAACGAGTCTTCAAAGAGACATCTTTGCTCTTCAGCACTTTAAAGATGTCTTTTTCAGCAGATTTTCCTAGTGATTTCTTTTTCTTTTTTTGGCGTTTCCCAGTCTGACTCTGCCCAAGCCTCATGTCTTTTTTTTTTTTTTTTTTTTTTAATTGTGATTTGGGTGAAAATTTACAGAGCAAATTCACTTTCCATACAGCAGTTCACATATACTCTGACATTGACCACAATTTACCCCAATGCAATAGCACCCCCCCACTTCCTCCTGATAGTTCCCTCTTCCCTGTGTCCATCCCTCCATGCACTCCTGCCCCCTGAGCTATCTCCATGTGCATAAACAGCCCTTTTTTCTCCCATGATTGTTCTCTCTGTTCTGGTTACCTAGTGCCTCTCTGACAGGAAATATACCACAAGTGGGATGGCCTTAACAAACAGTTTATTCTTACAATTTGGAGGCTTTAAGTCCAAGTTCAAAGTGCCAGGCTCTAGGGGCTTGGTGAAAGCCCCTCAACCCTGGGGTCCAGCTCTGCCTCCTGCTCCCGGCCCACTGGAGCTTAGAGGTATTTCTTGACTCAGACTCTTTGAGAACATCTAACTCAGCTGGCTGCTGAGGCTGAGAAGCCCCAAGGTTGACAAGTAAAAAGGCACAGTCCCTATGTCACCAAACCACGCGGCAGGCCATTAACTTAAGTCCATTGTAAGTTCCGAGGTCGGCAGAGCATAGCAGGCTACTGAGCAACGACACAGCTACATGCAGGGTCCAAGCGTGCCATAGGCTAGAGACCATTCTCAAAGCTTCTCCTTATATACAGGAAGCAGACCACATACCCAAAGGCAGCTACTCAGTTTCTCATAGTAGATTGCACCATGGAGTTGATTACCAGTCTCATCATGGGGAATATTACATAGAGCTGCCCAGCCACTCAACCAGGCCTAGCCAATTTGACACACAAGCATAACCATCACACTCTCCACGGAGGGTGTCTTCCTCAGGTAAATGTTCAGCTCATATGCCTGTCTTTAATTTGGCTGGATGCCATAGGTATGGGTTCAATTCCAGACCTGAAGGGCAGCTAAGGGCCATAATCTCAGTGTTTCACCAGGCTCTATCAGAGCAGCAAACCTGGTGCCCCCCTCCCTTTTTTTTTTCCCCAAATGATTTTGAGTTTTGTTCCACATTGTTCTCCCTCTCTATCAAGGATCTCCTACATAGATCCCCTTCCAAGTGGTTGACAGTGGTAACCAGGCCCCATCTAGTTCTTCAGGTCTCATAGACTGTGGATCACATGATGTACCAGTCGCTAGTACTAGTTGTTTCCATGAATCTTTGGTTTTTTTCATTCTTCTTTGCTCTGGATGAGGAGAGACCCATCGTTGCATCTAGGTGGCTGCTTGAAAGCTTTTCAGATCGCAGTTGCTACTCACCAAAGTAGGAGGTCAAACGAACTTTTGTGTAGTATGTTATGCCAATTGAGCTTGATGTCCCCTGAGACTATGGTCCCAAACACACCGGTTCAACTTGGTCCTTCTAGGTAGCTGGCTGTGACCAAGAAGTAACTATAACCTTGTCCCTTGTCAACTCTACTATACACATGGGAAT